TTTTTTTCATCAGGTCCCGTCATCAAGCCCGAAGGGAGGGGAGCCGGGCCCCATGAACCCCGGTCCCGCTCGACAGGCGTCATAGGATTACTGGCCAGAAAGCCTCGAGGTAGTCCTCCTCGCTAGCCTCCGAGTCAGCGGTAGCCGAGTCAGTGGTAGCCGCCCGTGACGGCGGCGACGCCGCGGCAATGCCCCAAGGACCGGCGTGACCCGACCGATGCCGGGGAGGAAGCAGGCGAGCTCGGACCAGCAGCAAGCACCCCAGTGGTGTCGAGCTCTCCGGATGACATAGGATTTACTGGCAGAAGGTAAAAAGTGCCTCAAGCAAAACAAAGCAGGAACAAGCTGAACCGGCAGGCACACAGTCCACAGCGAGAAGCTGCACAATCACACACAAAACACAAGCCCGAAAAGAACCAGCACTGCTGGCACCCAGACGCGGCAGCGCCAGCCCAAGCGCGAAGCCGCGCAGACAAGCAGCCTAAGGGTCAAGCAATCAAGCAACAAACAGCAGGAGCATGCAGGAGGAACTTCGAATAAAATCCCTTAGACGCGATACCCGGAGGCAGCCGACTGACCACTGTCAGTCGAGACGTCCGCTCAGTGCCGCCACAAAGCGGGCGGCCGCGGACGGAGAAAGGGCAGCCGCCGACAAGGAGCCGGCGCTGCCCGGGTGCCCGCCTGGGGCAGCGGACGGAGGGAGGCTGGACACATGAACACGGTACCGCTCGAGGTAGTCCTCCTCGCTAGCCTCCGAGTCAGCGGTAGCCGAGTCAGTGGTAGCCGCCCGTGACGGCGGCGACGCCGCGGCAATGCCCAAGGACCGGCGTGACCCGACCGATGCCGGGGAGGAAGCAGGCGAGCTCGGACCAGCAGCAAGCACCCCAGTGGTGTCGAGCTCTCCGGAGGCACCCGACGTCACAGTGAGGGACGGAGACGCCTCGCCAGCTCCGCGCCGATCGTCGGGGCCACTGGAAGGGTGTCCCCAAGGGTGGAGGATTCGGCAACACCTGTCACCCCTTTCTAGTCATCCTGCAGCTTTGAAGCTCTACTGCCAACATATCCTCCAAGGGGTCCTTCTTGGCCGGATGCCGGATCTTCTTATTCCTGCCCTGTCAGCCATTCGTCGAGGAGGCAGATTTATTCCCCTCTCCAAGGGAGCTGATAAACCTGGTCTCCGGCCAATTGTCATCGGTTCAAGGCTGCACACCGTCGACTCGCGACGAAGCTTGCTTTGGCAGGGATTCGCTCATTTCTTGACCAGCACTTCCTCTCGTCTCACCCTCGAGCGATTCAGTTCGGACTCGATCGAGACGGCTGTCTGAAGTTCTCGCAAACCGCGTCAGCGCTCCTGCCCCTTCACGCTCGCGGTGATGATGAGGATGTTGCCAACCCCACAGTGCTGGTGAGCTTGGATGCAAAGAACGCCTTCAACTCCCTCGACCGCCAGGCTCTCTTCGATGCAATCGAGGGACGTGCGAGTCGCGACTACTTTGATGGGAGCATCACTGAAGGCGCAAGCTTGCCCTCTTGCGAGCATCTCCGTTTGTTCGCCTCCTACCTCTCCAGCTACTATGGAGACTCTGCTGACCTTCGACTCTTTCACAAAAGTCAGTCAGCCTCCGTTCAGTGTACCTCGGGCGTCTGTCAGGGCGATGTCCCCTCCAGCGTGTTTTTCTGCCACAGTATCCACCCCCTGCTCCTCCATATCGCAGAGCTTTTTCCCTCTGTTCGAGTCTTGGCCTATGCTGACAACGTCGTACTTGTCGGTCCACTCGAGGATGCCGTTGCAGCTACGTCCGCTATGAAGAAGTACATGGTGGCTGATCTGAAGCTAGAGATTCAACCTCGCGAGTCGAAAGTTTACATCCCCTCCTGGCATCAACACCCTGATCTCTCGCAGCTGAAGAAGAGCCTTAAGCGCCGTCTCAAGACTCAACTTCTTCACTTCGAGGTCGTCACTGGCGGGATTACACTTGGCGGCCTGCCTATCGGCACGGATGGATTTCATGCTAGTCAGCTCCGAGCGAAGGTCTCTACCCTCAACGACGAGCTCTCGAAGCTCGGGCTCGTCCAGCATGGCTTCATGTTCAAGACGCTGGTGAGGGCGAGCCATCTCCAGAAGCTGCGCTTCTTCCTCCAGGGGTCATCTCCGTTTCTCCCGCGGGTCCAATCACAGATTCGTCGCTTTGACCTCTCTGTCCACCTGGCGCTTGAGAAATACCACCGCTGGCCTTCCTCGCAGTACCTCGCCGCGCATCCCGACCTGCTAGACTGTTTACGAGGTTCAAGCGGGAGCTTCCGCATAGTCGGGGAGGGGACGAGTTCACGCCCTCTGAGGGTCTACACCCTGCTGTTTACTATACGGCTATCGCTCGCTTCCTCGCTTGGTACTCTGACCAGCCCATGTCCCGGACCCTGCCCTCTCCTCATAGCCTGGACGTTCACTGCTCGAGATCTCTCCGTGCCCAGAAGCATCCTCTGGCGACCTTCTTCGTTGAGGCGCACGACTTCGTTCATAATGCTGGAGCGATCCTCTACCGTCGTGTGAAGGCTCCTGCACCGGCTGCAGATGGCGCGGCGATCCCACCTGCCCCGGCTGCTGTGCCTGATGACGCAGGACGCCCCCCGGCATCTGTGGTACACATCCCTGGTTTGCGCGCTCTCGTCGACTCGTCTCATGAGCACTTCATTCCGCCGCCTGCGCAGCGAAATGTGACCCCTCTTGTCATGCGCGTCTTCCCTCGCCATGTGCATGCTCGCGCTGCGCTGACCGATCAGCAGCGTGATATCCTCACCTTGCACAGCCGCAGGACACACTCGCTCAAGTCGCAGGATAGGGTCTTGCAGTCTACCATCTTCGCTCATTTTCCTGAGCGAGACCTGAGCCACTCTCCGATGCGAGTCTCGAGCTACTACCCCCTCAAGGCCTTCCCGCACCGCTATGCTCAGATGCTCGACTGCTATCTCCATGGCATGCCGATCTGCCAGTGTCCGACGGAATGTGATGGATGTCAGCGCGAGCTCGATCCCTCCGTTGCTGCACATCATCTCCAGACCTGCAAACGCCGATCCTCCAAGCTTCCAACGGCGCATGACAACCTTACTCGTACGATTCGGTCGATGCTGAACGAAGCTGGTCTTCAGAGCGTCATCGATACAGTGGGGGATCCTCGTTCTCGACGGCAGGTACCCTCCCATCCTCAGCATGGCCGCAAGATGAAGGGTGTTAGGGATTGACAATCCTGATGATGTGCTTTGACTCTGTGAACTTGAACCAACTTGATAACTTGCGTTAACAAGCAAACAGGAACCTCAACACAACCGCGCTCACTGAACGTATAGAAAGTTCGGATCCATTTTATTCGACCAAAACCTACCAAACCGACCAAACCGACCGGATAAGACAGCTAGTTGACTGAAGTATTCGTAACCGCTTACGTAACCCCTAACATACGCTCCCAAGCGCATTATCATCTGAGAAACATCTCTATGAACTTCGCTGATCATTAAGATACTGCATAACAAGAAAACGGCAGCCAACTCAAGTCATTTCAATTGAGTAGCGCGAAGTGCATTGGGCCAATGTTATTCACGTAAGTCCTCCTCATCCTGAGTAGAAGATGAATGCTGAGAATCTTCGTCGGTATCCTCCGCTGACTCGTCATCGTACGAAACCTCATGATGCGTTGACCTGTCATTCCTATACGCATCGGTTGTCAAATCCATGGACTTAGCTTCTCGATACAATGCTGGCAACAAACTCCCAATACTCAAAGTCTTGTTCACATTTTGCTTTTCCAAGTCAATTAACAACTTCATGACGAAACTCGCGGTCACCTCATTGAACAAATTCTGTGCGAAATACCGTTCAAGACCAAACCTCGTGCAAGCTGTCTCGACTTGTCCTTGTCCATGAAATAACACCATGCAACAAGCAATAAAATGATTTGCTAAAGCTGAAAACCTGTTGACAAAATCCGAAGTCTTTTCCTCTGACCCTTGTATCGTACGTTGAATCTCACCCAGAATATACTGCAAGTGCGACAACGACAAATATTCCTTCACCAGCAACGATTTGAATGATTCCCAAGTACCTTGTGTGGAAATTAATCTATCCTCGCCACGCAATGTTTGCAACCAATTCCTCACACGATTACCAACTAATGTTGCAGCAATGTCAACCTTTTGACCTGGAGGGATTCTTTGACGCTGGAATTGAAACTCAAGCTCCCCAAACCAACTTGCAACGGAATATTCTAGAGTCATTTCTCCATTAAATCGAGAAATATCCTTGGAATGAAACTTCACAAGGGAAGACTGCTGCTTGACATGTTGACTTGACATGTCGTTCGACATGCTCGTATTATTTTGCTTGCATGTTGCATCAGCCCCTCTTGGTTCCTTGATCGGAAGGTATTGAACTGCTCCTGATTCATTTAATCTGAACCGTTGCATCATTTCCTCGAACATTTTTTTATTTTCTTCCCTAAGGACAGAGATTTCCTGTTTTGTCTCGACGAGCTCGCTTTCCTTACGAAACATCACTTCCTTGACGAAAGCTTCATACTTTACTTGCATGTCCATTGCAAGTTGCAATTCTTCTCGCAACTTCTTGTTTGCAGCGACCAATTCTTCAAACTGCACTGATTCGAACCTCGGCCGGGTCGAACCTGCCGGAGACGCAATCCTGGAAATTTCCAAGTCCACTGCGCCCTCCCTGTCGCGCACTTGTTGCGTGACCGATCCGTCATAAGAAGGTATATTAATCCTCGAAAATCCCGCGACGTCTCGCCGATTTCCGTTCGGATCCTCTTCTGAGGTAGAAGGTACCGTCGTAACTTCCCTCATCGTCTTGTCTTCAGGCGTTTCCTCATCGAAACTCCTTCTGAAGTTGTCAAGCATGACTGCCAAGCCTGAACTTCCAAGAGGACCATCTCCAGGAGACCTTCTTATCCTTTCTACATCCGATTGCATATCCAGAGGTTACCTTTCAAGCTCCTTTTCGATCAAATCAAATCAAATTGTCGCAATCCGCAATTACTTCAAACAAAAACCAAACCTTACGCTACCAATGTTAGGGATTGACAATCCTGATGATGTGCTTTGACTCTGTGAACTTGAACCAACTTGATAACTTGCGTTAACAAGCAAACAGGAACCTCAACACAACCGCGCTCACTGAACGTATAGAAAGTTCGGATCCATTTTATTCGACCAAAACCTACCAAACCGACCAAACCGACCGGATAAGACAGCTAGTTGACTGAAGTATTCGTAACCGCTTACGTAACCCCTAACAAAGGGCGATATCCACATCCCTGGAATCCGCGATCGAGGGTCCGAGCAGTGCGGCTGCGGCTGCGGCTGCGGCGGCTGCGCCCTTTCATTGGTAGCTCTGCCGACCTGACCAAGTGGGGGGAGGTCAACCTCGACGCCCTCCATGTTGCAGCGTCTGAGAAGATTCGCAAACATCGCGCTGCATATGCTATGACTACTCCTCCTCGAGCGTTCATCCCTCTTGCCATCTCGACGGA